CTTCAGCATACTTAGGAACTGAATTCGAGTTTGTAAAGCCCCTGACAGACAGGAAACATTCTCCTGGAATTTACAACCTCCTGGTTCTTCTGGCTCCTGAGATGATGATTTTTTCAGCCAAAACTTCCACGGAGTCGTTGAAAACTTGCACAATCGTGTGTAGGCAGGGGAAGTCACGCTAAAATTTCAGCTTCCTAGCTTTTGCAGTTCACGAGATAATAATTTCCCCATTAAAACTTTCACGGGCTCATACATGGTACCCACAGGCGCGTGAAAGCTGAATTCAAATTTGCAGGGTCGTATATTGGTAAAGGATATCACCCTAAAACTTCAGATTTCCAAGTTCCGCAGTTTCCGAGATATGATACTCGAGCGTGCAAGAACATTGAATTTGCAAGGTAGTACGCGGGCAAGAGGTCAGTGTCAAAAAATTTCAGTTTCCCAGATTCTGTGGTAATAATTTCACCCACCGAAACTTCACGCGGCCGCACGTGTTATCCACGGGCAGTTGAAGGCTGAATTTAAATTTTCTGGGTCGAATGTGGGCACGGGACATGCCTACAAAATAGCCTTTTAGCTTCCGTGATTCCCATGATAATAATTTTACTCGCTGAAACTTTTATGGAGCCGTACGTGTTATCTACGGGTATGAGGAGGCTAGATTTAGATTTGCGGGGTTACACGTGGATAGGGAACATTACCCTAAATTTCCAGATTCCTAGTCTTTGTGGTTCCCAAGTTGGAAGTTGTGGACAAGTTGCTGTGGACACACACACAGGCACAAACACACACATACACACACACACACACAGAAAACCCCGTGACAATATGCGTTTTGTATTTCTGTTACACAGCACAAAAGGCATAAAAATAGGTATGCTTGTGCTTGAATGACATTCAAAAGTTTCCCTCCTCTTCCCTCTATGCTGATTTTTTCACTTCGAGCTGGGTTATAACTCAAAAAAAGACAAAGGTACGGGATTGAAATGCGAAGATTCAATTCATGGCAAAATGTGGAAAACAAAAGACTGAAATCAGGCCTCATTTTCACTTGACTGTGTTCTTCGGCCTATATTCACACAAGCAGCACAGAAATGATGCATACTGCGAATTTGAGATTTCTGCAGCCAAAAAACTGGACATGAGCCGGTAGCCCGATGAATACACCCGCCACATCCACGTACGGTCGGATGATCACCGTTACTGAGCACACAAAAGGAACGAAGGG